TTTGCATTAATAACACGGACACTGTAAAATGTTATACTACCACATTATGTTCTCTGCCCTCTACTGCAGTAGTACTGCTGGAGTCCTTGTCTTTCTCCAGATCTTTTCTGCTCTCCTCAATTTTTCCTTTTCTTCATTGTGCCATGTGTGTTCTGTATATCCATCCCACTAGTGCATGTCTGAAAATGATAAGGTTTTAACCGCAAGGTAATTGCGGACATACACAAAGCAGCTTTGTATGATGCCCAAGCCGCTCCTTCTGAGACCTTCTGAGGCTGTTTAGTTTCATTACTCTGCATCTGCGGCCTTGGCCCTGAAACGTCCTTTCCACAGAGTGGGGACAACTCGGGGCCCGACAGGTCCTAGTGTGCATAGCATGTGCTCTCTCAGCTGTGGGGTGCCTGGGGGACGCGGGTCCTGTGTAGGCATAGGGTTAGGTACAGTTAGGAAGGTTACCTCCCTAAAGGCTGCCAAATGACACTCAAGAATCAAACATTTTAGTGTTAAAAAAAACATATCCATATTGGCAAAAAAGCCTTTTTCATGTGGTCCACATATAAAGCTATGAGGCACCGTTGTTTCCCTATGACAGTAGTAAAGGAAATTGTAGTTCCAGTTGAGTTGTGCATAACAATTTCATTTGAATTCTGCTGATAATGATAAAATGTTGGGGTTTGACCCTGGTGTTCTGAAAGTTGCTAGTATATCTTTTACTCTTCTTTAATGTAGTCCTGCTACATTATTATCAAAAGGTATCTAGTCTAATAAATCCCAAGACAGTTTAGTTTGATACCAAAATAAAAGGAAATGGAACAGAGTTCAGAATGTATTCTGTATTTAATGCTATCGAAACCTTAGCATGCTTGTTTGATTTGCTGCCCAGTCACACGTACTTGCTGCTGCCTTTTGGTACACACCGTGGGGAGGTGCTCAGCCCCTTGGTTGTGGCTTTGCCTTTTTCTTCTGTCCTTCACTAAGTTTTGTTGCTGTGAGGACTGTCTTGGATCTTGTTGCTGTCACTGTTACAAATCTTAGCAGTGTTTTCCGTACCTATATTCCAGGATAAGGTGGGGGATGAAGGGCTGAAGCTTTGCGCTAGGCTCAGGTATGGGAAGAGGAAGGTTTCTGCCAAGTACTGCCACATAGGTTTCCTTCAGAGGTGGGCTGGTTACTTCTCACTTGAAAGTGCTCCAGGCCAGCCAATCCTCCCTGGAAATGTAGACCAGCGAGAGAGAGTTCCCTCAAGCCCAGTGCCATACTGAGTTGACTGAAATTGTACCTGCTTAATATGAAGAAAATTTGTTGTTTAATGGAGCTAGTGTGTACTACTTTAAACTCAAGTGGAGAGGTACATGCTCTTCTGTACTAGCCCTGTTAAGAGTACTGGCAGTGACTTTCAGTCTTTGTTGTCTCTGAGTTGATGTAAACTTGAATAATTGGTCTGTTGTTACTACTGCTGCTTTTGAATGTGGTCTGACCTTGCATTTCAATACATGGCTATGCATTTACCTTTTGAAAGGATCTTACCATTGATTTTATACAGAACTCTCCCCTCATATTAATCGTAAGTGCAATGAACAGTTTGCAAACACATGCAAATCTGAACTTGGAGTATTATAAGACATCTAAATGTTTTCATGTTTTATTGTTTCATTTAAGCTGACTGCTTAAGTCTGATATCTGTTGAAGCACAAAAGGAGAAAACGCTACAAAAAGTCATACAATAATAGTGACTAATAAATGCTTCAAATAGAAAATGAAGAGCCTAGCTGTATCGTGTGTCAGCACTAATGTTTATTTGTATCATTCCTCTAAGGATCTTAGAGTGCTTTTTAAGCAATGAATTAATTTTGATAATGCCCTGTGAGGTATGTAGGCAATATTATCCCTCTTGATAGAAGGGAGTTGGAAGCACAAAGTGTTTACATTCTACAGGGTCGTGCTACTAGGTACATTTAATTACAAATTGGAGCAGTTTATTCAGTTTACTACCAGTTTGTTTAAGCTGAACCAGAATCACAAATGTAAGTCCCAGGTTTGTGGGTATGAGAAAAATTTACTTCTAAGTTTATTTTGCAGGAGAAATGTTTGTAAAGAAAACTGCAAATAGAGTAATCAATGTGTAAGTCCTCCCTCACTGAGGCAAATAATCTGAATGATTGTAGCTTAATCTGTGGTCTTCCTGATTTTTTTTTTTCTTCTTTTGCCTGTAAAGAGTGTTTAATCATCTGCCATGGACGATTTCTGACACGTTGGAGAAAGGGAATTAAAAATTGCAAACTAGTATACCCCTGGACCAGTCGTGAATTGTGACTTTTGCACATGACTGGCTGAATACCTGAAGCATAAAATTTGTCTAAGATTGTTGTCTTAGTACCTATTATATGCTTGAGAATATTAAAAAAAAAAAAAAACCCCAACAACAAACAAAAAACCCAGCAGAAATCTTCCTGGTGGGTCAGGAAGTAGGAAAGAAGAGAAGTTGATGGCCAAAATATATACCACCAGAACCATCTAGTATCTCTCCTTACCACCTTTCCAGGTACAGAATTTCTCCTGGAAGTGGAATTGCAGCGTATTTTAAGTAAAAAAATTTCATGTCTCTAGATGATTCTCAAATCAGGATTGGTAGCCACTGATGTGGCTAAAACTAGATGCACAGTGTCCTTTGAAGTGTATTGGTTCTTGCCAGCTACTACTTTGTTCTTTGTGCATTGTTGAAATGACCAGGAAAATGGTTGAGGGCCGTCCAGCAGTAAAGTTATTTCTTTTGCATCACTAGATGTGGTCTGGCAGGCTCACCTGCACTGTGAGCAGAGTCTGGCCTGAACCCAACTTCTGGTAGGACCGGGTATTTTTGAGACAGGGAGGTAAGTTTAGCATGTTAGGGAGGGCAGGGCTAGTTTTTATGCTCTCTATCCATTTTATGTGGATTTCACTAGCTTTCCTGAAGAGAGTGAGTGCTACAGTTCTTTGAAGCAGACAGAAATGTAGCTGTCGCTCTGCACGCAAAATCTGCATGGGGAGGAGGGGACCATTAAGTTTCCTCCCAGCCTTCTGGTGTGGAAGTGGAGCCCAGATGCTTCTGTCTTTCAGATCTTAACAGTTTATTTACACTGTTTTATATAGCGAAGACTGTTTTGCAAGGAAGAGATCTTTAAGTGTGCTTAAAAATGGAAGTCTAGACCCTCCTTCAAGGATTCAGAGGCAGGACGTAATAAAAGGGACCTTTCTGCATCTTTATCAGATTGAAGTGGTCAAATACAATCAGTCTGTGTAAAAGAATGGCACATGTCCAACAAATACCAAAGAGACTTGATAAACCTGATGGGTTTTTTAATATAATGATAATAGGAGCCTTAGGAGGGATGTATTAACAAAATATACCTACAAGGACATCTCCTGTATTGAAACTGATCCCTTGCAGTAGGTTTGTGTGCATGGGTGTAATGTGTCTCACTTCCATGTGGCAAGAGAATCAGCTGCACAGCTTCAAATACAAGTAGAAAATCCTGATTTAATTCACACTTGTTGAAGAATTGTTTTAAGTAGTACTCGCTCTTGCTTTCAGCTGTGATCTCTGGCAAGAGGAGCTGTTTGGACTTGTGCCTCTTTTTTTATGTTCAAAAAAGGAATGCTGATGAGGAAGAGGTGTTAAAATATGTTACTGTAGTTTACAACTGTCAACTATAATGTTTTATTTAGCTGTATCTATTCAGATGCTCCCTCCGCAACATGGAGTGCCATATGCCATTGTCCCTGTTAGTAAGCAAGTCAGCAAAGGTTTCCCAGTCTGCATTTGTTTTTTGTATTTGGGCCGCTGAGGAGCTGCGGTCCAGTGCCATCTTTTATTGATAGGGCCAGCAGAGGAGGATTCTAATGAAATTATCAAAGCTTTGAATTAATTATGAACTTGAATAAGAAAGCTAAGCTCTCTAGAGCCAAGGATCTCATTACCCATTCATTTTCATTGCATCCTCTTATGGAGCAGAAGGCAGGTTCAGCTACAGCTCCTACCCTGATTTTGGACTTTATTCAAACTTGCTAAACTTGCTAGCATCCACTTGTTATTAATCTGTGGCTGGAAGTGTCCAGGGTGATTAATTTGGCTCTGCTCTAAATCTTCATGTAAATGGTAGATATCCCTCCTCCCTTTCCTCTTACCTTTGCTGTGTAGCTTTTCATCGTCAGACTGGCCGCCATACAAGAGTTTCTGTTCTTTCTTGGTAATTGGGGAAAGCTATTCAAGACTCAAGTTTTAACTTCCTGGAATTTAATGAGTTAATGTTGAGAAATAATACTGCTACCTTATATGTCCTGGATATTTAGGTAAGCACAAACACTTTTAAAGTCATTATCAAAATTGTTTATTTTCTCGTTTTAAAAGGCTATGGTGTGAAAAGTAATGATTTGATATTTTGGCCTCAGAAGTGTGGGGTTATTGTGGAGTGATTTTGTTGGCTTTTTGTTGTTCCTATTTTAAATTTGTTGGTCAAACTACAGATACTTCTGAATTTGTCAATGCTTTATTATGATGAACAATTAAATCAGTTTGCTTGCCTGGTTAATGTTCCATTAAAAATTGTTAAAAGTCTGTGAAAACACAATGTTTTAGTTAAATCAGATTATATTTATTTTAATTAATAGGTCAATATGTAAAAATTTTTCTGGCAAATTAGAACAAAAGCAGTGAGACCAAGCTTCTGTGTAATATTCTTAGTTTTTGTGGATATTCCTCTTAAGTCTACCGGCAAGGATTTTCTTCTCCTCCTGCTTTTGTCTGTTTCAGCACATTATTTATGAATGCATAAACTAGAACCTATCAGTCTTCATAAGTTACAGGCCACTGGCAATTTTTTAAGCAGTGGCTAACTGCCTAATGGTCTCTGTGTATGTGTGCATTTGGAGAATCTAATAGCTTGTTGGGCGGGGGAATAACATTTTGTTCTTGTACTATAGCTATTTTACCATTGGTGATATTTATCTTTTTCTCTCTTCAGGCAGCTGCTATATTTAATTCTGCTTTTGGAAGTTTTTTGGTAAGTAATGCATTATTTATAGCAAGTGCTTTAATAGTCTTATTTTTAACAGTATCATTGGTGTGTTTGTATCTTTCACATTAGTGTTGGTGGAATTCTGCCATTTAGCTGGCAAAAACCTCAATCGTCTTTCAATTTATGTCACCATGCCATTAAATACAGATATTACAATTTCTTTTCTCTTTGCTAAACTCTTCTCAAGAGTAGTGAATAAATTGTCTCTGCTCATGGTAAATTAATAATGTGTAAACACATCTTAATTTTCTCCTTAATGGGTTAACAGAATCTATTATTATGCAGATGTTTCAGACATGGGCATCAATATATTGATTTTTCTAATAAGGCCCATCAAATACTCATTATTTTCTATCAAGAGGCCATGGATTTTGAAAAGAAAACATGACCCAGCTGATCAGAGAGTAGATGCTAATTTACTCAGTGACATGTCATTTGTTTAGCATATTTCACTGTCAGTGAAGCCACTCAATGTCTCTGAGGAACACACTAAAATAGCTAGATATGGGAAAGCAATCAATCCAGCTGGAAATATAACAGTTTCTGTAAAAAGCTAAAACAGTATTTGTGGGCCTGGTGGTCTACAAAGATTCAGAAAGGACACCGTAAAGAACACTAAATAAATATATTTATAATGAAAGGAAGAATAGATTTCTTTTATTGATATGTTGTTTAGAAAGACATTAATGAATATTAAATACAAATTACTTTATATGTAGGCAAGCTACTGTAACTGATGTTTTATTTATTTAGGCAGCTAATAATTGAATTTGTTCTTCTTTACTAAAATTTGTGCATGTTTAGAAGTGTGCGTTTGCGATTCTAATCTTGTGTCTCCATTAGGAAGACTATCATGTATAAAATGATGAATGACAAAAGAATTCAAATTAGGAAATTAAAATCAAAACTGCAAGCAGGAAATAACTCACTTTATGCATAATTGTTTTATGAAAAGCCGGAGTTTGGGAGTTTAGGTATTGAAAGCTGTACTGCCAAGAGAGAAAGTTGTGTGGCATTGTGCTGCTGCTTTTTTGAGAGACCAGGTTAAAGTTAGGAGGGTAGATTTCAGTTGTATGGGTATAGTTGACCATTCACATTTTTAAAACATCAGTTCCCAAATATTTGTTCCTTTTTGTCACCTATCATGTTCTCCTCCAATGGGAAGAAGGTACTTTCTGCCTCAAACTGTGGAATCCCAGTGTTAGAGCAACTTTTAAGTCTATGTATGCGCGTGGCATTTCTCTTGCTGCTTGGCACGAGCTCCAGTTTCTCTGCTGTCCCTAGCTTTCAGTTGAGGAGGTTTCCTTGAGTACCCAAAGGCCTTGGTTCACCTGTCATTAGGAGAATGTCTTTTGACTTCCAATAAGAATTTAGGCCCCAGAGCATCTGACTACAATGCTGGCTCCTAGTAAAGCAATACAAACATATTTTAATTTCTAGAACCTTGTTTGTGGCTCTTTGAAGAAATCTCGGTTAAAGAAGCTGAGCTAGTTTGTGTGTTCATGTAATACTCCCGGTTTTGGTCTTAGTTTCATGGACTGATCATTGGAAAGTTCCATTTACATATAATTACCTCATTTCACTTTTTATTCACTTCATATTTTTTTGGAAATCTTGGAGCAGCGTTGCAGTAAACATTCTTGTAAAAAAGATTCCGTGGAAAGACTTTTCAAAAATATTGAAGATCAGCTAGAATCAAACCACAATACCAGCTGATTTTTTTCTAATTACTGATTTTTTAAAAAATAAAATTATGAAGAAAGTGGCCACTATTAAACACAAATACATACAAACACTTCGACACTTATTGTGGTATCCTAGTTTGAAATCATGATTATGTAGGGAATATGTATGTATGACAAAATAAATCACAAATATGTTTACTGAAAGCTTTGCTCTTACAAACTTTTCCAGTTACGCAGTTGATGGCATGCACCTTATGACTGAAAATGCAATGGGGTGGTAGTAGGCCAGGGACTGTAATAAGCAGTCAGAGTTGTTTACCGGTTTCACAGTGCTGTAAGTCTCCATGGCCTTTAACTGAGTGGCTCCTGAATGTCACTAGCATGTCGTCACTTACTTTGTAAGTTTTCTGTGAACAACTGGTGAAGCATTAAATATATACACATACACACTTGTTTGAAGTCAAAACTGTTCTATAAAATATGAAAATAATTAGCCTGTTTCTGAGAAGATAATGGAAGGTCCTGGTGGTGTTTTTGGAAATCCATCAGTTTATAATGGTGCCTACCTTATGGGCTTGGCTATAGGTGGAGATCCTATTTCCTATATCTTTAATTCATGATGAATCTAAATCACATTTGCATTTTTCTTATTAGGGTCTGATGATGCGCTGTCTGTGGATGGGCTTAGATGTAGTTATATACCTATGTGACCATAATCATATACATGTCCTGGAGATAATTTGGAAGGATCTGACTATTGGAGAGGCTGCAATTTTTCTTATGTTCCTTGTCTTACAATGTGTAGCACGTGGGTGGGTTGCTGCACTTGTGTGTAGCCCTGACAAAGCCAAGAGGACAGTATGTTGTCTGTTCTCAGACTATGCCCTGTGGGCCAGTGCCTCTGTACGATACTGTGAAGCAAGCTGATTTAAAAGGGCTAAAAGATGTGCTATGCTTTTAAGTCTTTTTTCCTTTTTTTTTCCTTTTTTTTTTTCCTTAAGACTAGGAAATGGACCTTGAGAGGTTAAATTAAAATAAACTGTGGAACAAAATGTCTGCAGGAAAAGACTCAGCATAATGTTAGAATGATACTGAGATGAGCTTATTCAGATGAAAAGGAGCACACTGTGATAACACAAAATGTAGAAATACCAAATATGTCTTGATGAGCAGAAATACACTTAGATTAAGCATTTGGAGGTGTTTTCACTGGTAAGGAGATTTAAAAAAAACTACCAACCAACCGCAAAGTAATTTCTTTTAAACTCCGCCAAAGCCCATATTCCTATAAATATGCAGGCAAAACAATGCATGGAGATACTGTACATATTTACACTTAGTTTAATAATGTCCCAGGTCTAATTAAAACACAGTGTTTCAAAGAACTAATTGTTACAGAAGAGTGTTTTTATGTAGCTAGATTAGTAATAACTAACGATAGATGAATTCAATTTACATAAATTTCAGCCAAGAGAACATTTAGAATCATACCACAGAGAATTGCTTTGAGTTGGGTGGATAATGTCATTATCTCCTCCCCTCGTTTAAACAGTTTGGTTTACAATAATTGTGGAACATAATAAGTGATTTCAGTTTTTCCTCTTAATGGGTTTTTAATAAAATCTGATAGCGTTTTACTAATACTGGGCGGTTGGTTATCAGCAAGGTTGCTACTGTAAAGCATGCAAATGTATGCTAAGATCTGCTGAGATAGAAAGCACTGAGGTAGCTGCTTCCACTTGTAGGATAGGATACTTTTGCACCTAAAGGCTAAAGAAATTGTCTGTTATGTTAAGTATGGGTCTGAGATTCTTAACATTGTATGCCTTACCATGCTTCCTGAGCATTTATATTCAGCTTCTAAAGGTTGTCCTGCAACAGAAAAATAATGCTTAATGTCCAAAGTGCAGAGCAGTAGGCAGGATATTGCAAAACATGCTGTGCTGATGATTGTTCTACGATGTTTGCCTGGGTGGCTCAGCTCTTTGGCTTTAGGTTCACCAAGGCATAGCCTGTCATTGAGGCTGTTCTTGCACTGAAGTGGAGACGTGCTCAGTTGAGAGCTAAACTCAATTTGCAGTGACAATATAATGCCATGTGCATGGAAGAAGGAGAGGGCCTAAAGTCCTAGAAGAGTATGTTCTCACAAAATGCTCTGCACTGCTAGACTAGAAACATCCTTGTCTACCTCTCTTTCTCTTTCTGCCTCTCATTAATCTCCTCTCTGCTTGAGACAGTGGGCTTGGAAACTCATGAGAGTATCCAGCTTGTGATGTGAGTGAATGTTTGATTCTTTGGTGCCTTGGGGTTGTGAACAGTAAGTATGAAAGGATCAGCCATCAGCTTCACCTTTAAACAAAGAACTGTAACCAAAATCTGAAGGTCTGTGGTGACAGGAAATCAAGAGGAGAAGAGAGGGTTTAGAGGACTCTGCTCTGGTGACTGTGGCACTCCTGAAAAAACAGAGCAAAGGGCAGCCAAAAATGAAAGTGTTGGTTGAGACTTCTTATGGTGCTGTCTTGGATTAGCTTCGCTTCCTCTATTGAAACCTATGGGATGAAATAAGGCATGTGTCCAGGCTACAGAAGTCAGTTTGAAGGAAGGAACCTATTTCAGGTGCCCATCATTTCATTAATCTCCCTTTTTCAGATTAAATATGTATGGTTTTGTTGTTTTATCTGACTATCTAAGCGGACTGAGCTGGTTCATATTGTTCAAAAATTCAAATAATTTTTGGAGCAGCCGCTTGGCTAATCAAATCAAGGCTAGTGTTTTATTTACGCTGTCTTCCAAATGAAAGCTAAAGCTAGCAGGGAATGTGAAAGTTAGCTTCTCACATATACACAAAGCCTAGTTGGTTAATGAAAATGTATGGAATTCTTATCTACTCTGCTTTAGCAGGCATAATGATTTACACAGCCTGACAGCACTAGTGCAGCAAGTAAATGCATTAGTCATAGTGTCCATTTTTCTTGCAAATTTGTGACACAGATTTAATTATGGGAATGACCAGCAACTTACAAATCTAATTTTGGTAGGCTGAGCCAACTTTTTTATTTTAATAACAATGGATTTTTTAGCAATGATTTCATTACTATTTAAAGAAATCTACCCGTATGGAAATAACCAATTGGCTGAATTTATTTACTTTATTTTACCTTAATGGATGTTGAATGGTTTAGGTTTATTTTGTTTTTTTTTTATTATCACTTTTTTATCTTAGTTATTTATAGGATAAATATCATTATCTGGCTTAATTATTTCTAGCATAAACATTGTAAATATTTTTCTAAAATCAGG